GGATGGTTCCTCAAGGTGGGTTTTTGGGTTCTTCCGCTTTGTTGTTACAGGCAGGGGTGCCCGAGCCAGAAACCGAACGGGAAGACACCCGTCCTGAGATTAACGTAGCTGACGAAGGTGCTCCGGAGGAGCCAACCGAGGACGAGACATTGAGGTCTGTGCTCGCAGCAGACCAGCCTGACATGTCCGGTAAGTCGGCGAACATGCCTGGAGGTTGACTTTTCTTCCGTCTGTGCTTAAACGCCACTGTGGGGCCGGGGAAGGGTGTAGCTGGTGGGTAGATGGAAGGTATGCTTCGGCCTCAGGAGTTCCTGGGCTCCATCGCCAGGACCTCCGTCGAAAGAAAGAAGCAACGTGCGAACCTAACGTACCTCAAGACTGTAGGTCCAGATACCACCTGCAGTACTGCTTGCTTTCCTTTTGCCCGCTGTCTTCCCACACATCCCAAACACGACCAGGTTTTCCCTCAAGAAAGTTCTTCAGTCCTCTGAAGTTCCTTTGGGCCACGTTAGTTTCCGGAAAGATTCTTGAATGGGGTTAGACTTCACGGGTGTGGGTACAATTCAAAGCGGTCAGTGTTGTCGCTCACATGCCTGTGCCTGCACCCTCTAGGTGACACATCGGGACAAGAGGAAGACACGGCGTCCCCTGACGAGCAGGTACCGTCTCCTTTGGCTGTTTTTCTTCTTCTTTTACTACCTAACCGTCGAGGGTCGTTAATACGTAAGCGGATGGACGCGTCGCCCCTGCGTCCTGACGTTTGCATTTTCCCGTCACCATTCTTGCCTAATATTTTCTAATCCACAACTGCTAAAGTCGTTCTGTGCTTTCGGTCACACGAGCGCACAGTACACTTGTGTGAGTTTTCCACGCTCGCCTACGGAAAGCGGTGTCTGTATCTGAATTCTTTGCCTCCAGTACTTTTCCCCGGTCGGTTAGGCCAAGTGACTGAATGTAGACGGTTCCCTGTGCGAGTTCGGTGAGGTTTAAGATGTCTCCCGTTTTGACTTGTGTTTTCGGCACTCCTTGTTTTGGATGAGTCGCCTGTTGTCTCTTACCGAAGCTTGCCAGTGGGGCCTTCCCGTTCCCTGCCCACTCGGTGTGTTCAGGATTTCCGTGTGACTTCTCATGCCGTTTCCCACGTCGTCCTTCAGCTCAAGCTGCCCTTCCTAGAATCCCTCACCCTGCCTCCTGTGCGCTCGGCCTGTCTTCGAAGACACGGCCTGGACTTCCCAGCGTTCCCCGGGCCGGAACCCGCCCCAAAGTCTTCTCCCCTTTGTGCCCTGCCTGTCCGTTCCCTTCGGCTGTAGAGCTGCTGAATGGTCCTTTTTTGTGCTGATTGGTGTTCATGGGTCCCTGCCTCTGGTAACAGTACAGGGCAGGATCTGTCCTTCGTGTGTATTCCCAGCTTTTGCCAGGATAATGCCTGTGACTTGATAGACACTGTAGATAGCTCCTGCCTCGCTGACTGATAGACTGAATGGCCCCGTGCATGAGTA